GAACCATGCCTGCCAGGGCAACTCTCAAGGATGTGTCGTGAGTCATGGGGCGAGAACATCTGGCCACATTATTTTTCTGCTTATGATGCCATTATTATTTTTATTGTTTTTTTTTGGCCCTGGGCCCTGCTACTCTGTTACTCTCATACTCTTAGACTACTATTACTCTATGACTCTATTACTCTATTACCCTATGACTCTATTAGTCTCTTAGTCTAAAAGCTCTCTTACTCTACTACTCTATTACTCTAGTACTCTATTAGAGTATTCCTCTCTAAAAGAGTAATAGAGTAAAAGAGTAGTAGAGTAATAGAGTAACAAAGTAATAGAGTAGTAGAGTACTAGAGTAGTAGAGTAATAGAGTAAAGAGTAATAGAGTGATAGAGTAATAGAGTAAGAGTATCAGAGTAATAGAGTAATAGACTAATGAGTAATAGAGTCTTAGAGTAATAGAGTCTTAGAGTAATAGAGTAACAGGGCCGATGGCCAAAAAAACAAAAGAAAAAATATTAGCAGTAGCAATAGCAGTACTAGTACTACGAGTAGTAGTAGTATTGCATTGCGGACGTCACACAATCCGTGTGCTCGACGAGGGAGGACAGTCTATATAGACTGGCCGCTCAGTGGCAGCTTCATCGTTTTAATGAATCCTTTCTTGAAGACCTACCAAAGATCTACCGACCGCAGTTCTAGTCCATGACGTTCAGGTCAAAACTTGGCTCAGCGTGTCCGAACAATGGATAGTAAGAGAAGCGGGCCAGCCCTCCAGAGTCATTCGATGAAGATCCGGTCGTGATCATGCTCGTTGCTGACTCTGTGTTCCCAGTGAGGTCCAGGAAATTGGCCTGTGCCCCTCCATCCCCGACCACAGTCTCTGCAGCATCGTCATCCTCTTCCGAATCACCCGCGTGCACAAGCACTGGATCAGCTGTCGCCATGGGACCCACCGTATTCCATGCATGAAGATCTGTCCCAGCCGCATTCGCAGTAGCCTTCGCAGTAGCCATGGGACCCACCGTATTCCATGCATGAAGATCTGTCCCAGCCGCATTCGCAGTAGCCTTCGCAGTAGCCATGGGACCCACCGTATTCCATGCATGAAGATCTGTCCCAGCCGCATCCGCAGTAGCCTTCGCAGTAGCCATGGGACCCACCGTATTTCATGCATGAAGATCTGTCCCAGCCGCATCCGCAGTAGCCTTCGCAGTAGCCATGGGACCCACCGTATTCCATGCATGAAGATCTGTCCCAGCCGCATCCGCAGTAGCCTTCGCAGTAGCCATGGGACCCACCGTATTCCATGCATGAAGATCTGTCCCAGCCGCATCCGCAGTAGCCTTCGCAGTAGCCATGGGACCCACCGTATTCCATGCATGAAGATCTGTCCCAGCCGCATCCGCAGAAGCCTTCGCAGTAGCCATGGGACCCACCGTATTCCATGCATGAAGATCT